GTTTTACGAGGGGAATGGGACGATTTTTGTGCTTTGAAGGCACCTTTGGAAAGCTTTTTGGGGTGCCTTGGGGCTCTTTATGTTGGCATTCGGAACCATCGTGGGGGTGTTTTCGGGGCCCTCGTGGGCCGTTTTGGCACCTTCATGGGCCGTCCTGGGGCCTTCTTGGGCCGTCTTGGGGAGCTTGGGCCCGCTGGAGCTCCCTTTGGACCCATCTTGGGCACTTCCGAGGACCTCCCATGGCCCTTTTGGGTCTGTGCTGGGAGCCCTTGGGGGGCCTCTTGGTTCCATTATGGGCTGTCTTGGGGCTCTCGTGGGCGATCGTGGGGCCCGGCTCGGCCGTCTTGAAGCTTTCTTGGGGGGCTTTTGGGGCGTCTTGAGGCGATCTCGGGGGCTTTGAAACCGTCTTGAAAGCTGATGAAATCCGGAAGGCGAATCTGCTAAAATTGTATGTTTCACGAGAGGGAATGGGACGATTTTTGTGCTTTGAAGGCCCCTTGGAAAGCTTTTTGGGGTGCCTTGGGGTCTTTTGGGCCGTCCTGACGCAATTGGAGTCCCTCTTGGAGCGCTCTTGTTCTGTCTGGAGCCTCCCTTGAGCCTTTCTGATGACCCCTCGGATCGCTCTGGGTCTGCTGGCAAGGCGTTTGTGGAGACCCGGAAAGCCGGGTGACCTTTTCCAAGGACGTCCAAGGGAGCCCGAGAACCCCAGATCCTGGGGGTCCAGTTTTTTTTTGGGGGGGGGAGGGTTTTCCCCCCCCAGGCTTGTAAAAATATAGGAAGAGGAATATGGATGCACATTGCAATTATACGTGTAATCAGTTATGTTTAACGCGTGGCCGTATATTTTTGCATCGGTGCTTCTCAGCCTTCGTGCATCTGGTTCTGCACGTACATTTATACTTATGCACATGCCAATCGGCCGTTATTGTATACATCGCTATTGATCTACAATCGGGGTTTGCATGTAGGTTTGCATGTCTATTTGCCCCCTACCCATCGTCTTCACATTATCGACGGAACAACTCACGGCGCAACCACGGAATAACCGACGGGACAACCAACTGGAAAATCACGGGGCAATTCTGGGACAACCCATGGGACAACCGCTGCGCAACCATGGGAATAACCACGGGGCATCCCGCGGGGCAACCATTGGACAACCTGCGGGACAACCGCCGAACACAGCCTGCGGGACACTTCCCAAGGACAACTACGGGACAACCCCACGCGACAACCACGGAACAACCCACGGGACAACCCATGCCACAGCTTCGCGCGTCCCTGCGCGACACACGGCAGAGCTTTTGTACCCGACTTTCCCTTAGCTGCGCTGGCACATCGCCGTCCTCGCGCAAGTCCACCTCGCCCGCACGCGCGGCACGAAACGAAGCCGAAAGCAATTTCCCGGCAGGGGTAATCTCGGTCTCACCTCTTAATTCTGATCATTGCCAAATTTCCTGCGCCCCTCCTTGGCGAGACCTGCGGGGCATTGCGCTGTGCAGGCTCAATTGTGCTCCTCGCCCCTGGGGTCGCAGGAAGCGTCGCTACTTTGAAAGCTCCGATACGGTTCTGCGCAGCAGCACCCAACAGAGATTCAAACGATATATCGAGCCGTGTGGCTTTGCTAAAAGTCTTGGGTGAGTGTGTCCCTCGGTATCTTTCCGGCACTATCTCTATCAACTTTAAAAGGCGCTATCTTTCCGATGCGCGTGCTGCACCAGCTGTGCTGGACCCGCCTGCCTTAGAACAATTGCAGGGGAAAGGGGTCATGTTGGCAGTCTTGGCTTGGCTGCGCCGCGTGCGATGTGTCTGATCCCAACAGGATGGACATTGCACTCGCCGCTTTCAGCCCGGCTCCTCCCTCAGGGCAGATGAAGTACAAGCAGCCGGCAATTCCTCGGCAAGTCCACCTCCTCGTCCTGCGCTCGTTCCCCCGCCTTCTTCCCCTCTTCCTTCAGCTGTTCCTCTGCCTTCTGCTGTTGCCCCTCTTCTTCCCAAGTATGACTGAACCAGGTGCCAGCGGAGCTCAAAACGGTGTTGGACATCGACCTTACGCAGCCCAAGAAAGCCCCGAAGCGCAAGAGATTCGGGCCGCAGCCGCTTGCATCAGCTCTTTCTCTCAGCTGGCATGGCAACGATTGTGGTGTCGACGACGTCGACGACCATTCCAATGATGCTGTCTCTGCTTGGTGTCGACGACGTCGACGACCATTCCAATGATGCTGTCTCTGCTTCTGCTAATGAGAAGCAGTCACGAAGCACATGATACCAATGACATTGATGATTGCCATGCATTGCGGCAGGTCGGCCCAGCATTCAAGGCAGAAATCAGTCCTGCTTCACAGCGATGTCAGGAACAGAGCAGCAATTTTGCATGTTTTCATGGGGATGCTCCTCCGAGAAGCAAAGGCCGATGAGTAATGGCGGGGCAGCGAAGGAATATTATCAGGTATGGTCAGCTGTCGGTGACGGGGGGCAGAAGCTGATTAGAGGATTGTAAAGGGCACGCAGCGCGAGGAGGGGGGTCACCGCCGAGGATATTCCGCTGAGGGCTGTGGGCGTGCAGCTGCGTGGCGGTTCGCCGCACGAGTTTGCAGATGGGCCAGCGGCCATTATTTGTTCGGGCTGCCGTTAAACAGCAGCCCGAGTAAACAGTGTTAGCACCCGCTGCATCATATATGCGCGCCGCATTCAAAGATCTCTTGCCGCGTCCGCGCGCCCCATCACGCTCGTCTGGCAAGGTGGGTAGCAGAGTGAAAACATGTCCGGCAGCGACGTCCCCGGCTGTTGCGCGTGCGTGCGTGCGTGCGTGCCTGCGTGCGTGTCTGTGTGTGTATGTGTGTGTGTGTGTGTGTGTGTGTGTGCGTGTGCGTATGCGTGTGCGTGTGTGTGTGTGTGTGTGTGTGTGTGTGTGTGTGTGTTTGTGTGTGTGTGTGCGTGTGTGCGTGTGTGCGTGCGTGTATGTATGCGTGTGTGTTTGTGTGTGTGTGTGTGTGGGTCCACCCAGTGCTGCATGCAGCCGACCTGTGGCCAGGCGAGGCCTTTCTGGTCCTAAACATACCCTTACTCGGGGTCGGCCTGGGTGAAAAGGGCCGTCCGCTGGATTGGGTGCTCGCCACTGCGCCCGATCAGCCTGCCGCGTGCGCGCTGGTTTAGCATCCGCGCGTCAGGACGCAACGACACGCTGAATGGCTAGTTGTTTGATTGCAGCGACATGCCTTGGTTTGCTTTAGGGACGTCTGGGGGCATCGGGGGTGTCCGCGGGGTTTAGAACAGCATTGGAATGGTGGTGCCAGTCCCATTTGGGGACAGGCACCACCACTCCGTTGCCTTTGGGTCTACCCGCAGAAACGTCGTTGCAACCTCACGCTCCCCCCGGGGCCGCTGCCGCCGCGTTCGGGAGAGCTCTCGGGGGCCGAGCGTGCGCCCGAGAGCGATTTCGGCCAAACGCCACCTCGACTTGGTACGGGTATGTTTCCGGGGGTACCATCAACACGCGTCGGCGACGGTACCCCCCGACACGTACCCGGACCTAGTTGGGGTGACGCCAAGCGAGATTTCCAGGGAGCAGCCCCTGGCGACCGCGCCTGGCGTTCGGGGCCCCAGACGTTTGGGGCGAGCGCGGGCAACAGCGGCGCCCGTCCAGGACACCCAAGACGCATTTTGCGCGTCGAGCCTCAAACGCTTGATTGTGCGCCTTCGTGGGCGCACCTCCGAACGAGCTAATTTAGCCCGAGAGCGACCAATACGCGGTCGGCCACTCTGCCGATTGGAGCGCACGCGCCTTCGGTACCAGCGGATGCCCGGAGAAGGCAGCGCCCTGCAATGTTCTATGGGCCGTCGCATGTGCACTTGTGCGACCGCCGTAGGCTGCGGCGCGTCGCCCCCCCCGCCTCTTGCCACCCCGCCTGGGTAAGGGTATGGGTATCTTTCGCGCTCGACTATTCAGAGCCGCGTGCGGGCTCTTGCCCGCGATGGGATAACATAGTGGCACAAGGGGCAGACGGCTCGTGGTGCAAGCGGAGGCGGCCGATGGCAACAGCGTCACACCTGTGTTCCCTGTGTTTCACACTTGTGCTGCAGGTGGCGTCATCTTCTGACGGGTTGTTCGGGAGAGCGCGCCGATATAATCACAACTGGGGCAAGGGTGAATTTCTTGTTCGTGCTTGACGTCCTTGCGAGGATCGTGGGTCTGATTCGGTATCTCCACCTGGTCCCTGCATTTTCTTGCAGTCGAGTGCCCTGCCCTGCTTCAGGGCAGAGTTTCTTTTTTTCAGGGGGGCGGGAGGCAGCGGAACAGAGAGGAGCGGAGTGGGGGCGGTAGGGGAGGGCATGGAGCGAAGGGGGCAAGGCAGAGGCAGGGAGTTAAGAGAGCAAGAGGTCATGATAATGATACGTACCAGAACTTCCAAGGGTTTTCCAGTTTCCCGAATCATCCGCACGGGCTGCAGAAACGAGGGTTGCTGGATGCTCTGGAATACCCCGATCGCATCCTGAGCCAATCCTATCATGACATCGTCCTTGTCCTAGGCAGGGCCGAACTTCCGCGTGCATCTGGGTCCTTGCTTTAAGTCGGGCATGTCCCTCTACAGGAGGCATATTCAAACGTTTGTATTATCATTATTCGGATTACTATTATTATTATTATTATTATCATTATTCGTATTATTATCATGATGCTGATTATTATTATTAGTATCATTATTATTAGTATTATTATTCTTGTTATGATTATGGTAATTATGACTAGTATGATTATGATAATGATCATATTTTAATATGTTTTAGGATTATTTTTCTTCTTATTATTATGAACATTATTATTTGTAGTATCATTAATATAATTTTTACTATCGTTATTATCATTATTCTTCTTCTTCTTATTATTAGAATGAGGGGGGACGACTGTTTGACGGTATTTTTTGCAGTTTTGGAATATCTTGGAACTATTTTTGATTTTTTCGTCCGAAATCCCTGTGTGGGAGGACACGCCCGAAGTAGGCCTTGCCCTCAGTCGACCGCGGACGTCGCGGTGCGCGAGCCGTTTCGGCTCGGGGGCCAGCCCGGCGAGCCTGCGGGCCGAGCCGCCGCGCTCGCCACCCGTGGGCACCGGCGCTGCGCCCGCCTCGCGCGCGCCAAGGCGGGGCCATGGCGCTCGTCCGCGGGATGCTGGTGGAGGTCAGCGGGCTGCCAATCCCGGCCCAGCCGGCGCCCGAGGCCGGGGACGTGGAGCCCATGGATCTGAACGGGGCCAGGACCCGGGGCAGGCAATGGTAGGGTTTGGGGCTGCGCGCAGACGGCCCCCCCTCCCTTACGTCTAGCCCTGGCTCGGCCACGCCGAGGGCGACGATGACGAGGCCCGTCGCCCAGACCCCCGATGCCGTAATTTTTGTTCGCGACGTCGACCACCATAGGTCTGGGCCCCCTGCTGGGACAAGCTTTCCCCCTTGAGTCGCTTGTCGACGGTCCCGCGGCCCAGCAAGGGCCCCCACAGGCCAAACATATGCAGAAAACCAAAACCTTCGGGATTTCTTCCACGACGCGAGGGGGCCTGGCGCCGCCTCCGGCGGCGCCCTTGGGGCGCTTCGCGCCCCAGGGTTCAGGTGTTGAGACCGCTCCAGGCTACTCGGTGGGTCTGTTGAGGCCAGCCGTGACTTCTTGGGGAGGCTGTCTGTGCGCAGCCCGAAGCCTTACCACTGGGCAACTCGCTCCGTTCTTCCCCACCAGCCAGCCTCGTCTCGTCGGTGTCCAGGAGGTTGGTTTGAGGAAGTCTTCGAGATCGGCACCGATACGAGGTGATGTCAAGCATAGGAGTAGGTGTGTGCGCGTGTGTGTGTGTGTGTATGTTTGTTCAAGGCTGGCTATCTCATTACAACTTACCCCTAGCTGTTGGAGGGGGATCTGGCGGGGGGAGCGGTAGCAGGTGTGGGCGCAGGGGGGCGGTTGGCTCCGCGCGAGGGCGCAGCTCGTGAGCCTGGATCGCGAGGCCGGCAAGTGGACCGCTGTGACCTTCGACGGCCACGTCGTGGCAGTAGACCCGAGGTATCTGCGCGAGCTGGACGGCGATCAGCTTGCCGGCTACGACTTCGTGCTCGGACCAGCCACCGACGTGGACGTGGTGGGCCACTCGCTGGCGGAGTGCCTGGCCTCTCAGGGCTACGCCGTGGTCAAGCTGTTCGTGTCGGCCGACGACGCGGCGGACCTCCTCTCCGCCACAAAGCAGCTGGAGGACGATGGGCATTTCGAGCGGCTGGCCGTGGAATTCGAACGTGGATATTTGGGCAGAAACTGCTCGGCGAAAACGCTGCTTCTGGACCCTAGCGCAGCATCGGCTCCAAACTATGTCAGAGATTCGCCACTGTGGGTCATGGATAGCAACGTTGGCTCCATAAGCGAGATCCTCTCTCCTCATTCGCAGGATGTCCTGGGCTTCAGCATCTACAGTCGCACGAGCATACTGATCACTAAACCTCTCACGGCTGACGACGAGCAAAGATATATCCCCGCGGAAGCGGACGACGGTGACGCAGAAGGGTACTTGCATACAATGTTCCGACGTGTGTTGTCGTTGCTGCAGTTCGTCGGCCCTGGCGAGGGCACCCTGAGACTCTTCCCTCGGGAAACTAGCGGCCGGGAGGTGACGCTCAGGACAGAACCCCATACTCTTGTGCTCGTGTCCACCGCACATTTCGAATACGAGCACAAGATGGCAAGAGACTCACTGACACTGGCGTCCTTCTTCCTGAGGGAGCCCGCTGTTTTCTCGATTGATACGGTCGAGGCGGACGCGGAGCAGCTGCTTCGGAGTCTAGGCTCTGGGCTGACACCGCCTCCGGGCGAGAAGATCACAATTCAGGGCATGTATTGTCGATACGGCGGCCACGCCGACGGGTCCGACAGGTTTTGGACTGGCCTATGCCAGGGTGGTACGGATGGCATAACCGAGATCCCGGAGCTGCGGTGGGACAACACTCCATATTACGACCCGGACATGTCATTCGGAGGTGCCTATTGCAAGCACGGCTGCTTCGGAATCCCCGGCGTCGATCTCTTCGATTGCAAGTTCTTCGAGGTGTCGGTGGCGGAGGCGAAGACAATGGATCCGGTGCAACGGCAGGTTTTAGAAGTGTCGTATATGGCGTTGGTGGAGACAGGATACGACAAGACGAGTCTGCAGCGCAAGCCCGAGAACATCGGCCACTTTGTCGGCATTGATAAAGACGATTGGTTGTGCATGTCCGCGGCGGGTGCCATTTCTTTGGATGGGGTGCATGGCGCGGCCGGCGCTGCCAATGCTATCACCTCAAACCGTTTCTCATATGCCCTGAATTTGAAAGGCACCAGTATGACCATCGACACAGCATGCTCGTCCTCGCTGGTTTGCATCCACGTTTCCAAACTTCACCTGCGCAACAAGGAGAACGAACCGATGCCTGCTTCCATCGTGAACGGCCTCAATTTGATGCTCTACCCAGGTCCATTCATTGGTTGCTGCGCTGCTGGGATGCTCAGCCACAATGGGAGATGCTTCACTTTCGACAAAAGCGCCGATGGATATACACGAGGGGAGCTGTGTGGTGCGCTTGGCTTCAAGCCGAGTCAGAAATTTGACAACGGCGAGAACATGTACGGCCTCGTTGCCGGCACATTCTCGAACCAAGACGGGCGTAGCGCTACCATGACGGCACCCAACGGCCCCGCACAGGAGAAGTGCATCCAGGGGGTGCTGCGGGAAGCCAAGCTGAGCGCAGCCGACATTGATTGCTTTGAGTGCCACGGCACGGGCACGGCCCTCGGTGACCCCATCGAGGCTCGTCGGAAAATTAGGACAGCCCTATGGCCTTGAGCTTCCCGCCACGGGGGACTCAGCTTCTGGGTGTCCAGCAGGCAGTTCGTTTCGTGTACGTACTCAGGCTTCCCCGAGGCCAGAGCCCTCCCCCTAGGCGGGAAAGCTTGCCTTCTGCTCCCAGACCCCCGAAGTGTGCTTTTTGTTCGCATCGTGGGCCCCAGCGGTTCAAGACACCTCCCTCCCGATGACGGCCGCGGGGCCTCGCGCCGGGCACCCCGGAGGCCGAAGCTTGCCGGAGACGTCCCGCAGTCATCCTCCCTCGACGCGTGGGGGCCTGGGCGTACGGCAGGTTCGCGTCGTGTCGACCGGCGGCGACCCCATCGCGGGCGTGCAAGGTCGAACGACGCTGGTGGCCCAGAGTCGGCCCATCCCTGAACGGTCCGGCCTCTTTGAAAGGGCCGATCGTTCAAGTTTGAACGGTCCCCGTGGTGTCAGGAACCAACGCCGGGGTCGACACGACGCAAACCTGCCGTATCCTTCGGCGGCGAGCGGGGGGGGGGAAGTAAGAATGAGAAGGCCCTCTCAGGAGGCGGCGGAACTTTTCAGAGGCCCTCGCGCCTTCTGAGAGGTTTTCTGCGTCTTCGGGGAAGCCTTCGAAGACTTCTCAGAAGGCTGAGAGATTTCCGAGCCTTCTGAGAAGGCCCGCCCCTTCTCATTTTGCCCCCTCCCTCGCCGCCGACTGACTCCTCCACAGGTCGGTTCCTTCAGGAAGGCGATGAGCGGCACGGATCGGCAGCGTCCCGTGGTGATATCGTCGAGCAAGTCCTCCATCGCCCACGGCGAGGGCGGCGCCGGCCTAGCGGGCTTCTTCAAGTGCGTCTGCCAGGCCCGGCCTCTGGGGTCCGAGTCTTGGGGGAGCTTCGTTGGCGGTACGCACGAGTCCTGGCTTTCCTTCTCGTCTGCAGCGCGCACAATCACCACGGAGGGCTTTGGCGACGTCCGGCCTCCGGGGGCCCTCCCTGGGCTCCGGGATGGTTAAATAACACCTTAGGATGGCAAGGCGGTCTTGGGAAGTTAGGTGCGCTCGCGCTTACGCGTGTCATATCCGCGGACGCGTGTCTATACCCGTGGGCGCGTGTCATAGCCGCTCTACCCGAGGACGCGTGTCATAGCCGACCTGCGACTGACGCAGAAAGGGATTTCGTGTTATGCGCAATCGGAAACAGGTTAGCTGCGTCCACAGGAGAGGGATGTGGCGGGTGAGCAGCAGGACGAGCGGGAGGAAAAGGAACAGCAGCAGCAGCAGGAACTGGAGCGGAAGGATCGGGAGGGAAAGGAGGACCAGGGGAAGGCGGAGGAGGAAAAATGTGAGGGGCGACAACGACGAAGAAAGACTCGGATTCAGAAAGCAGGGCCCGCGCTGGGGCGAGACGAACAGCAGCATCAGGAACCGGGGCGGAAGGAGTGGGAGGAAAAGGACGACCAGGGGAAGGCGGAGGAGGGGAAATGAGGGTGGTGGACCACAATGAAGCAAGACTCGGATCCAGAAAACTAGCCCGCGCTGGGGCGAGAGCGCAATTCTGAACGACGGGAGCAGCGCTCTGATCCGAAAATGAGGCCCACGCTGCAGCGAGAACACCATGCTGAAACACCGAAGCACATTGGATTGTAACCACCACAAGAAAAAAACAACTCTTGGAATCCTGTGTGTGTGTGTATGTGCGTGAGTGTGTGTGGGTGAAAAACCAGCTCGTGGATGGGGCGGGAGAGCTTCAGGGAAGGAGGGAGAGCCGTACTCCGATGGTTCTCTTGTGGGGAGGGGGAGAGGGGAGATTGGAGGAGCGGGGGAGAGGGAGAGAGGGGGAGAGGGCTTCTGGCGATTTTCGGCCTCCAGGGGCCCTCACTGAACGCCGGGACCGTCAAAGAAGATGTCAGGATGGAGAGGCGGTCCTGGGAGAGGGAGGGAGAGGGGAGGAGAGGAGGATATGGGGGAGAGGGGGACGGAGAAAGGGGGAGAGGGGAAGAGGGGGGGAGAAAAGGGGGAGGGGGAGGTGTCCAAAGACCTTCAGGGAGCCACGTTGTGAAGAGGTCACGCCGGCGGGCGTCTGGGAGGGGGTGGAGCGAGGGAGGCGGCCTTCGAGGAGGGCGGGGACGGGGGCTGTTCGAAGGGAGGAGCTCGCTGAGGAGGACCTGGAGGCTTCCAAGAAGGCTCCTCTCAGGGAGCTAGAGACGGGGTAACAGCAGACGGGGTAACAGGGAATGGCCGATTCGAGGCATCAAATGGCCTCTTTGTTGCAGTGCAGTTTTGTTTTGCTTTCGCGTTCGATGCAGCACCTTCTTCATGCTGGCTGCGTTGCACATTTTCGGCTGCTGCACTGCAAGTTTTTGTTTTGGGCCCTCTGTTACCCGGTCTGTGGGGCTTGCTTGCAGTTTTTCCGCAGCCAGTTGCCAACAAATTGCAGTGCATTTTTTTTTGCGTTGCTGAAACATGCAGTGTATTTTTTTGTTCTGGTCGTCGCAGTTTTTCCACCTGGATCCCAGGATGGGTCTGTTACCCCGTTTAGGCGTTGCCCAGTTCAGTGCTCCCTGATCCTCAGGACAAGGGGCGCCCTCGAGGGCGCGAAGCCATTCGCGCTTCGCGCTTCGCGGCTCGGCCCCGACTCCTCGTCCTCGTTCTCCCCTGGGGGGCGGCGCGAGAGCGCGAAGTCATTCGCGCTTCGCGCTTTTCGCGCAGCGCGCAGCGCGAAGCTAGGCGCCTCGCAGAAGTTGCGAGGGCTCCTCAGGAGCCCCTCATTTTCGCAGATTCTCCCCCGCCTTCTCAGCAGGCCGGTCCCCCTCGCGCGCGCCGCCAATCTCGGGGAGAGGCCTGGGGCTGGGGGCTGGGGGGTCCCCAGACCTCCCGGGAGGGAGCCGGGGCCCCCGAGGTTCGCGCTGTGAGAAATTCGCAGTGTCGGCGGTCTGGGAAGGGAGATGAGGAGGAGGAGGAGGAGGAAGAGGAGGAGAAGGAGGCGGAGGAGGAGGAGGCGGAGGAGGAGGAGGAGGAAGAGGAGGAGGAGGAGGAGGAGGAGGAGGAGGAGGAGGAGGAGGAGGAGGAGGAGGAGGAGGAGGAGGAGGGTGTGTCAAGAGGAGAAGTGTGAAGGATTTGTGACATCGTTTGCATGGCTGGTTGTGGCCTCGACAGGCCGCTTGCTGGACAGCGCACCTCGCTCGGGGAGATGCCCCTTGAAACTCCTGTGATCACGGGGGCCGCAGCAGAGTGCATCCTCCTTTGGCTAGGCCACGGAACTCTCTCGAGGATCGAGGAGGAAGAGGAGGACGGAGCAAGACCCAGACACCCAGCCACTCCAATTCTACCGATGAGTGGCTCCTGGAAGTCTGGACCACCTCCCAAGGGCCGGTTGCTCGTCCTGAGTCGTTTTTTTAAAAAGGTCCCAGGGCCCCGCGGGGGCCTCCGGAGGCCGAAAGCGGCCGGAAACCGGCCGCTTCAATTTCTGTCGGGGCGTCGGATCTCTGGGGAGGACGAGGAGGAAGCGAGGCTGGCGCTCCTTGGCCCCCGCCTGAGCTGTCTCGGTTGGCCCCCCTGGGCTGCCCGTCGTGGCCCGCAGGTCGCGCACGCCGAGGCCTCCTCGGGGCTGCACCTCCGGGCCCGGAACCCGCACCTCGACGTCGAGGGCTTCCCCGTGCAGATGCTCACCGAGATGACGGTGATCAGAGCATCTGGACGCCCGAAATGGGTACGGAAAGAATGGGTACAATCTGTATTCTGTCCCAGGTCCGACCGTATGTGGGGTTCTGCCAGGATCTCCCATCTGCACGAACGAAATGGGCACGGAATGAATGGGTACAATGCCGAACAGCAGTTCCTGTTCATTTGGAACAGGATTCGCTGTCCACGCCGCCGCGGCCTGTGTCCATTCGAGGCAGAAGGCCGCCTGCCCAACAGCGGCCGCTGTTGGTTTGGGACAAAATTTGTTGTCGGGCACTGTGCCCATTTTTTCCGTACCCATTTCGGCGGGCGTCCAAAGAGCAGGGCCGGTCGAAACAACGGTGGACCTCCTTGGCGCGTTTCGTCCTTTTTCGGCCTTTGGGGGCTTCTCGTCGCCACGGCTGGATCCGCCTCGAAGAACAGTTCCGGATGGACCCCGGGGAGGGGGTGCAGGGACCACGATTCTGAGCGAACATGGACCGGGCGGGAGAGCCGCCGTTGTCTCGTTTGGCCCTCCTCCGAGGTGATGGCCCACGACAACACCTATTGCGGCGTTTCGTCCTTCGGCTTCGGGGGCACGAATGCCCACGGCCAGGCCTTCAGAGAAGGAAGTGTTGTCGACAATTGCTGCTGCTGCTGCTGCTCGTCCTGGAGAGCTCCTGTCGCCGCGGCTGGACTCTCTTCGAACTGCTGGTCAGAACGCACCATGGGAAGGGTCAGGGGAATAGCGGTCACCGTACATCTTTGTACCCCCAGGCTTGGGGCATGAACATCTACACCTCCAGGGGCGCTATTAGGCAGTCGCGCGACGTGAACAGGACCTTCGAGAGGAGGCTCATGGCTGCACCGCCGGCAGAGATTACGATGAACGGGGACGATGTGACGGAGTGGGACACGACAGGCATCGACCCGCGTGCAGAAGCAAACAGCAAGTGGAAGATTGATTTGGATGATGATGGCGTCGCAACCTGGGAAAAGGACGATGCACTCGAAGACCTCGGCGAGGAATTTTTCATCCAAGGGGACCACAACAACTGGGAGCCAGATGGCTTCGAGAAGAGCGACAGCATCCAGGGCCTTTGGATTGCGAGAGTGGTTCTGGGGAGCAGTGGTGAGGCCCAATTCCAGATCATCTGCGATGGCGACAGTGACAGAGTGATCCATCCCCGGCTGCCGAGATGCACCATGAAGGCGGTCAAAATCGAAGGACCTGCGAAGACAGGACGCGACCTATCTTGGTGCATTTTAGGCGAACCAGGAGAAACCTATAAAGTGGAGTTCTTTCATCAGGACAGCCATATGTCGATCAGCTGGCTCAGGAGCGCAGGTTGAGTATGAACACCGAGCGGGACAAGATCGGCGCTCTGCGGTGCCCGCCTGTGGGTGGAGCTGATGCCCCGTTCAGTCCGTCATTCTCATTTTCCGGGTGCGACCCGTCTCCCTGGCTCGTTGCGCGCCCCAAGCACCAGATATTTGGGCGTTCGTAGTGCTGGGCGTCTTTGGTAGGAGGACTTGAGTGGTAGAGCCATAGGCCCTGCCTCAGTATCGACCTATCACCCCAAAGGCCCCGCAAATACAGTGGCAATGGCCGTAATTGCAGCAGCGCCCACTGTAGTCATGCCAGTAATGAGACCAATTGCTACAATCACACGGCGACGATACCAATCGTGATGTTTGCAATGGCAGCTGCAGTGATAAGGCACACTGACATAAAGACGAGCGGCATTTCTTACTCACTGGTCGTACCTGCCTAGCAAACAACGGTTATTGTATGAAGACGATCGCGCTCCCCAATTAGGCGTTCCCTAGCGGTCCTACTTGCGATGTTGAAAAGGCCCAGTTGTCCTTGTGCCGGCTGCACGGTCAGCTCTTTGACGCTGGGGCATGGTTTCTCGCGCAACTGCAAATATCGCAGCAGCCTTTTCGCAGCACAGCTCGGCATCGCACACAGAGCAAATCATAGCAACGCATCTCATATCATAGCATCGCTCACTTTTTTGGTGCCCGCTCCCAATCTATCACACCTGCGTATATTCCTCTTCCTATATTTTTACAAGCCCGGGGGGGGGGGGGACCCCCCCTAAAAAAAAACTGGACCCCCGGGATCTGGGGTTCTCGGGCTCCCTTGGACGTCATTTGATAAGGTCATCCGGCTTTCCGGGTCTCCACAAACGCCTTGCCAGCAGACCCAGAGCGATCCGAGGGGTCATCAGAAAGGCGCAAGGGAGGCCCCAGACAGCACAAGAGCGCTCCAAGAGGGACTCCAATTGCGTCAGGACGGCCCAGAAGACCCCCAAGGCACCCCAAAAAGCTTTCCAAGGGGCCTTCAAAACACACAAATCGCCCCATTCCCTTCGTAAAACTTACAAGAATTTTAGCATATTCGCCTTTCGGAATTCATCAGCTTTCAAGACGGTTTCAAAGCCCCCGAGATCGCCTCCAGACGCCCCAAAAGGCCCCCAAGAAAGCTTCAAGACGGCCGAGCCGGGCCCCACGATCGCCCACGAGAGCCCCAAGACAGCCCATAATGGAACCAAGAGGCCCCCCAAGGGCTCCCAGCACAGACCCAAAAGGGCCATGGGAGGTCCCCAGAAGTGCCCAAGATGGGTCCACAGGGGGCTCCAGCGGGCCCAAGCTCCCTAAGACGGCCCAAGAAGGCCCCAGGACGGCCCATGAAGGCGCCAAAACGGCCCACGAGGGCCCCGAAAACACCCCCACGATGTTTCCGAATGCCAACAGAAATACCCCCAAGGCACCCCAAACAGCTTTCCAAGGGGCTTTCAAAATACAAAAATCGCCCCATTCCCTTCGTAAAACTTACAATTCTAGCATATTCGCCTTCCGGATTTCATCAGCTTTCAAAACGGCTTCAAAGCCCCCGAGATCGCCTCCAGACGCCCCAAAAGGCCTCCAAGAAAGCTTCAAGACGGCCGAGCCGGGCCCCACGATCGCCCACGAGAGCCCCAAGACAGCCCATAATGGAACCAAGAGGCCCCCCATGGGCTCCCAGCGCAGACCCAAAAGGGCCATGGGAGGTCCCCGGAAGTGCCCAAGATGGGTCCACAGGGGGCTCCAGCGGGCCCAGGCCCCCCAAGACGGCCCAAGAAGGCCCCAGGACGGCCCATGAAGGCGCCAAAATGGCCCACGAGGGCCCCGAAAACACCCCCACTATGTTTCCGAATGCCAACATAAAGACCCCCAAGGCACCCCAAGAGGCTTTCCAAGGGGCCTTCAAACTACAAAATCGCCCCATCCCGTTCGTAAAACTAACATTTTTAGCATATTCGCCTTCCGGATTTCATCAGCTTTCAAAACGGTTTCAAAGCCCCCAAGATCGCCTCAAGACGCTCCAAAAGGCCCCCTAGAAAACTTCAAGATGGCCGAGCCGGGCCCCACGATCGCCCACGAGAGCCCCAAGACAGCCCATAATGGAACCAAGAGGCCCCCAAGGGCTCCCAGCACAGACCCAAAAGGGCCATGGGAGGTCCCCGGAAGTGCCCAAGATGGGTCCAAAGGGGGCTCCAGCGGGCCCGAGCCCTCCAAGACGGCCCAAGAAGGCCCCAGGACGGCCCATGAAGGCGCCAAAACGGCCCACGAGGGCCCCGAAAACACCCCCACGATGTTTCCGAATGCCAACATTCTTTGATTTTGCTCCCGTGACATTTCACATTGTGACCCAGTCGTTGAGGGTCTCGTGGCATGCAGTGAAGATGCCCGAGGATGCCCCGTACGAGTTGCATATGCATGTTCATACCCTTACACATAGATTGACATGTACATATGTACGCGGTATACACCTACAACTATGTAAGTATATGGAATACACCTAGACATTTTACGGAACGTGCATGCACGTGCGCGTGTATACATGCATGCGCGCATGTACGCACGCACGCATCCCGCTTGCGTGCAGAACTGAAAGGACCAAGGTGCATGGCGCGCAGCGCCAATGCAGTCTTGTACATATGTGTATATGTATATGTGTATATGTGTATATGTGTATGTATGTATGTATGTATGTATGTATGTATGTAGGTAGGTAGGTAGGTAGGTAGGTCGGTCGGTCGGTCGGTCGGTCGGTCGGTAGGTAGGTAGGTAGGTAGGTAGGTAGGTAGGTAGGTAGGTATGTATGTATGTATGTATGTACGTATGTATGTATGTATGTATGTATATACGTATGTATATATATATATATATATGTATATATATATATATATATATAGAATGGCCTTAGGCCCAATCCCGCCACCGTGCCTGGGTTGTGGGTCTGAAGCGTATTGCATGTTCGTTGGGATCTCGTGGGAGGCCGCTCGGGGGCCTCTTGGAGGCACTTCTTGAGGCATCTTGAGTGAGGCATCTCGAGGGCCGTTTTTGGGCCTCTTTCGGCTCTCTTGGGGGCTTCTCTGGGCCTCTTGGGGCGGAAGGCTTGGATTTTCGGTGCCCGTGTCCTCTCTCGGGCCCCTTTGGGGCCTTCTTGGAGCCCTCGTGGGCTGTCGTGGGCACCTCTTGGGCCGTGCTGGAGCGCTCGTAGGCAGTCTTGGGGCCCTTTTGGAGGCCTCTTGGCCCATTTTGGGATGGTCTTTGGGGCCTTGGGCCGTCCTGGAGCATCGGAAAGCCGACGAAAAGGCGAGAACGCCCAAATCGGTCGAAAACCTTGGGAGAATGATTGATATCCTGCCTCTTGGGGCCCTCTTGGGAGGCCTCTTGGGGCGTCTTGGAGGGCTCTTGGGCCATCTTGAGGCCACTTTGGGCGTCTTGGTGCGGTCGTTGGGCGTCTCGGGCCCCACTTGGACCGTCTTGGAGACCTCTTGGGGCTCTCTTGGCCTGTCCTGGGGGCTTCTTGGGCCCCGAAAAGTCATGCGACAAGATGTGCTGGAGCCCAAGTGGCAGGAGACTTGAGAATTTGGGGTCTGGGCCCTTGAAAGACTCCTCAGGAGGGCTTGAGGGATGAGGCAAAGGATCTGAGCACACGCCCACTTTGTGCCCAGCGCATTTTAGGCGAAGCCATGCCCTGGGTGGTCCGGGCCGCACCTTCACCAGGAGGCACAGGAGCTAAATGGATGTTCCCCATCCCCTCCCGGAGATCCCTCCCAGGGCCTCCTCGGGAGGGTCCAATCCCCATGGGCCCCCTCAGGAGGGTCCAAATCAGCATCGTGAAACCGACCCCTATCCCCATCCCCATCCCCATCCAGAGCCCCACATTTTGACCACCCCAGTTGGGGATAGACCCTTCTAAACCCGAAGGGAACAGCATATATCCCCATCTAGGGGGGTAAATCGGCAAGTGGAGCCCAGGCCACGCCCATGGGGATAGGGGTCGGTTAAACAATGCTGTCCAGTAGCCTCGAAGACGGGCCAAGTGCGCTTCAAACGACACCAGGAGGTGTCAAGGCGCTCTGGGACGACCCCATGAGGGCTCCGAGGCCGCAGAAGAGCCAGCCCCATTTTTTTGCTTGTTGTTTGGAATCCCAGTGCTTTTTTGCTATTTCGCATTTTCTGCTTTGGCTCGCAGGATGGACCCCCGAGGCCCCCCCTGAGGAGCCAAACCGTTTCGAAAACGGGCCCAAGAAAACGCCACGATGACCCCCGAGACGCCTCAGGAGGGTCCAAGGGCTTGGAGAATTGCCGAAGTGACAGCCCCAAGCAAGACCATGAGAGCCCAGGATGTTCTAAGACGACCCCAAGGCGACCCCCACAATGCATCAAGAGATTCCCACGAGAACCCCCAGACGACCCAAAGCAGTCGAAATCCTGGGGATGCCATACATTTTGCATATTCTCGGAGTCTCCGCTTTCACCGCAAGTTGGCTCTCAGAGCGCCTCGGAGGAGCCAACGAGCTCCCAAATCTAGCCCACGAGAGCCCCACGAGATCTCCAAGATGGCCTACAACAACAACGACAATCACGACGATCATTTCAATACCGATCCCTCTCAGGAGCTCGCGTGTGCGTAATTCAATGTTCTCCCCTTCTCCCGCGTACCCGCCCTCTAAATCCACGAACGTACCCCCTTGCCAGGGTGTTTTTTCCACCTCTCCCCTGCGTTGGGTTGACGTTCTGACTAGCCGAGTGCCGCCTTCTCCCTCCTCCATCCCGCCTCCCTCCTCCCCGCCTCATGCCTCCTGCTTCCTGCCTCTTCTCTCCTCCTGCCTCCTGCCTCCTCCCTCCTCCCTGCCTGCTACGGGTCTTTGGGAGGTCCTGCGGTGCGGCGTCCTACGCAGATAAAAACGGAACCTGGCCCTCCCTGGCTGGGTACTGCCAGCTGCGCAAGTGTCACCACTTCTGTGGGCCCCTGTGGGAGGTCCAGCGCAGTGGCGTCCCACGCAGATCCAACTGAGACCTGGCCCTCCCTAGGTGCTGCCAGCTGCGCAAGTGTCGGCACTTTCGTGGGCCCCTGGGAGGTCCCGAGGTGTCTTTCAACCACCTGGGTGAACACACCCAGAACGTAGAGGTTGCGAACGAAGCGTTACGCATTTCCCGTTAAACGGGGCCCCCAGTACAATGGTGCAGTGACCAGCTTACCCCTACAGGGTGCTTCCGTCATTCCACATATCACGATAACGAATGGAAGACGGGCCAGGAAGTCGTATTCAATTCAGGGCTTCCTCAACACAATTTCAGTGGTAGCCTTTCAGGGCGTTCGGACGATTTTCCATGCCGCTGGAGCGTTGCGATGCTGTATGGGACTTCCGCCCCAACACTTTCCAGTCCCATACCATGCTGCTAAACAGTGACGAATTCGCGTGAAACTTCCTGAACATCAAGTTGATCGTCCCGCTCCATGCCGCCAGAACGGGCATAGTTCGTTTGAGGGCCGTTCGAAGATCGAGGTCCGATGAAAGATCGAATAACCACGATCGAGGGTCCATGACCAACCGATTGTCGGATGCCGAGGGTCGGTCGAAGGGCGAATACCCAGAGGGTGGCTACATCGTAAACTGCCGATCCAGACTTTTCAATCCAGGGGGCTTTTCCTGGGGGCTGTCAGCTGCAGGACTGTGGCCGTTTTCGGTGGATCCTGGGAGGTCCAGATCTAAAGGGACCTGGTCCTCCCTGGGTGCTGCCAGCAGCGCAACCGTCGCCACTTTTCGTGGGCCTTTTGGGAGGCCCAGCGGGGTGGGGTCCAAACCATGTCCAAACAGTACCTGTTCCCCCTGGGTGCTGCCAGCTGCGCAAGTGTAGCCACTTTCGTGGGCCTTTGGGAGGTCCCGCGGGGTGGTGTCCTACGCAGATCGAAGTGGGCCTGGCCCTGACTGGGGCCGTCCTGGGCCGTTCAGGAGCCCTCTTGTGCTGTCTTTGAAGCTGCTTTGGAGGATACTCGGGTCATTTAAGTGCTTTGTTGGGGGCCGTCTCGGAGGCCTCCTCAGCAGTCTGTAACTACTGGAAGCCTGGAACGGTGAATACGCCCACATCTACAAACATTATCCTGGCGAGGGACCCACACATATGCAGTAGTGAGTACCGTCGTTGCGGGTATCGCCTTCGGGGGATCTCTCATGGGGCCATGAAGCATGCGAAGGGTGTGCCGATGTGGGGCGGGGCCGCCATGTGGGCGCTGCCACCGGGGCTTTACGCGGAACCCACTATGGGGCCGCGAACGGTGTGAGGGGTGCGCCGCAGTGGGGCGGGGCCGCCACCGGGACCTTCGACGGAGCTCCCGATGGGGCCACGAAACGCTGTACTGGTTGGGGGGATCGCACGCGGACACCGCCACTGGGGCCTTCGGTGGGGCCCCCTATGGGGCCACGAAGCGTTGAACTGGGTGGGGGGGGGAACCGCATGTGAACACCGCCGCCGGGGCCTTCGGTGGAGCCCCCGTTATGGGGCCACGACGCGCTGTACTGTGCGGGGGAACCTCATGCGGACACCGCCACTGAGGCCTTCGGTGGAGCTCACTCTGGGGCCACGAAGCACGAAGAGGTGAACAGCGTGGGGGTCCCGCACGTGAACGCAGCCACTGGGGCCTTCGGTGGAGCTCCCAATGGGGCCAGGAAGCGCTGTGCTGGGTGGGGGAACCGCATGCGAGCGCAGCTGCTGGGGCCTTCGCTGGAGCTCCCTATGTAGCCACGAAGCGTTGTACTGGGTGAGAGAGACGCATGCGAACACGGCCACTGGGGCCTTCGGTGGAGCCCCCTTTATGGGGCCACGAAGCGCTGTACTGTGAGGGGGAACCGCGTGCGAGTGCAGCTATGGGGCCTTCGGTGGAGCTCTCCATGGGCCACGCAGCGCTGTACAGCGTGGGGGACCTGCATGCGAGTGCAGCCACTGGGGCTTTCGGTGGAGTTCCAAATGAGCGCAGTACTGTGCGGGGGTCCCGCTTGCGAGTGCAGCCGCTGGGGTCTTCGGTGGAGCTACCGATGGGGCCACGAAATGTTGTAATGAGGGCGGATGCTCCCTATGGGGCCACGCAGCGTAGAGGTCAGGCGTGTCCACTACTTGTGCGCGCCCACCCCTTCTCCGCGGCCGCCTCACTCCCCATGCCCGCGCCTCTGCGCGAAACTGCGGTCGAGCATCAGATCAAGAAACCTCCTCACGAAAAGCGGGGTCAGCATCTCTCAACCAACTTGCCTGAAAGCTGACCCAGTGTCTTGAGCTCCTTCGCCCCTCTTCGTCAACACTAGTGATTAGTTTAGATTTCTTACATGTTGGTTTCCCTGATCATATTTTCGGCTTTAGCTGCTCGGCATCCCCACCTGAGCGACGGAGAGATACGGGATCGTCTTCGCCGACATTCGCACGCAAGCTTCCCGCAGAAGGTCGCGCGTAATAGCGCCCTCGTTTTCAGTGTGGCGTGCCCGTGGCGGCCCGCGCAAGCCACCGCGCAAGGTCGCGACGCCATCTCGCCCGAGACCCCTTTCTGATCTTCGCTCACCTGGCCACTTTCAGATTTGGTGCTCGCGCTGTCGATGCTCTGCTCTCCTAGGCCTTTGCAGCGTCGTCCGCGCCCTGCTTCCGCACGCCCGAGCTCCGTAGCTGCCCGCACGCCCTCCTGTGCCCAGCTGCGTCCTTGCTCTTACGAACACTGCGCAGGCCCGACGAACGCTTGATGGGGCCCCTTCCGATGCGTGCGGCGCCGCCTGGCTGCGGCCCACAGAGGGCGCCCGCGCCTCGCCACCGTGCCTGGCCCCGCCCGGGCACGGTGGCGCTGCAGGGGCGCCCCCCGGCGCACGTGGGGGCCCGCGGGGAGGGCCACCGGACGCCCTCCGACATGACTTTTGCAATCCGTGGCCCCAGAGGTGCCGACCTCTGCCCTATAGGGTTGGGTCGGGCGTGTCCCGCTACAGGAGGAATATGCAATAATAGCCAACAGTTAGTAGGGGGACGGTTTTTTTTCTGTATTTTTCTTGCATTTGTTCCCTACCTAGGCTCTGCCTAGAAGGGTTCTTACTTCGTAGCTTCAAGAGCCGGGCAGTGGGGCCCGCCCCGGGCGGTTCCCCCGGCATCCGCCCCGCGGTTCCCCCAGTGACGTTCCCTTAGCTTCTCGTTGCTTATCTCAGCTTAGCTTAGCTTATTTCATCTTACCTTAGCTTAGTTTCATCTTACCTCAGTTTTATCTTAGCTTAGCTTACCTTCATCTTAGCTTCGCTGAGCTTTAGCACAGCATAGCATGCACACGTGCAGCACAGCAGAGCATAGCATAGCACAGCAGCAACGCAAAGGCAAAGCAACAGCAGCGACAGCAAAGCAAAGCACAAGCAACGCAAAGCAAAGCAAAGCAAAGCACAGCAAAAGCAAACGTAAAGCAAAGCCAAGGCAAATCAAAAGCAATGTGCGACAGATGCCGAGCTGGCCTCGATGGTTTTATACATATCTATATATTTATATATATATATATATATGTATATGTGTGTGTGTGTGCGCACGTATGTTCCGCACGACGACGAGGAGAAGGAGGAGGACGGCGTCTACCGCTCCTACTAATGTTGCTTTCCCAGAGGCTCCAACTCCTGGGTAGGGTCGCACTGGGACAATTGATCATTTGTTCTGACTATCTTTTATTGCTCGTCCAACTCCGCCTGCAGGAGGACACGCCCGACCTGACCCTAAGGGGGGCAGTTGCTCGTCGCCGATCCATTCTTGATGGCCCCCGGGCCCGACGACGGGCCCCGGAGGCCGACCTGGACGACAAAAAGCGCCGGATGGAAAAAAGCAGACCCTCGGAGGTCTGGGCCCGGGCAGATGCCACCCCACCCCGGCCAGAGTCCACCCCGCGGGGCCACGCTCGGTGTACGAGAGCCACCACGCCCCGTGGAGGGACCTCTGTAGACCGAACCCCCGACCAGGACCCTCGCCCACCCCCCAGGGCTCATGGGCATAAACATTCGGGGGTGGACAGGACCCCCAACAGTGACACGTCGATTAGTGAATGGTCCGTTTTCGGTTCTCGAGAGGGCGCCGTGGCCGTTATTTTCCAGGCTTGCGCCCGCCAGGTTTGGGCCTCAGGTCGTTTTCACTAAACCACGTTTTACTAAAGGGGGGTCTGTCCATCCCCGAAACATAAACTTGTCGGGTGGACCTCGAGGGCATGTAGCGTAACAGACTTTCCGGGCGGACCTCGACCCATTCACCATGACCGGTTTTTCACCCTGGGTCGTTCTTTGATGATCCCGAGGCCGGGTAGGGGCCCCCAGAGGCTGAAGACAGCGAAACACCTCCTGTCGTGCTTCCTTTCGCCCTGGCTCCGTCTTGCCGAGCGCTCCCCTCGCCGAGCACACCGCGCCCCGTCCGCCCGTTGCCACCTGGGGGGCGGGCTCGGGGCTCGTGCGCCCGGCTCTCGTCTCTCGGCCTGGCGGGGGCCGCAGCCTCTCGGCACGTGCTTGGCCAGCTCCGCAGCGCTTCGTGGGCCAGCCGCCCGTCCCTCGCAGAGCCCCGTTGCCTTCCCGGGTCCTTTTCCGTCCGACCGATCTTCAGAGGAGGAAGAGGTACTGATACGGCTACCCCTGCCTCATTTTCGCCTTTTTGGGCCTCCTGAGAGGCCCTCGTCGCCACCGCCGGATTCGCCTCGAAATCCTGGTCACAACGCAGCCCGGGAGAGGTCCGTGGAGTAGCGGTATCGGTGACTTGCGGTTTCCCCAGATCCTGTTCGAAATCGGTTATGGCTGGCTCTATCTGATTCGCTTTCCGATGTTCTGACGATCCGATGCGGCCCGATGCTTGCATGGCGCTGCGGTGCACCCTGGCGCTGCCGACCCGATTCGATTCAGTCCGTGCCGATGCGGTCCGATCCGATGCACATTCCGATCTCATCCGGTTTCCCGGTTCGATGCTGACTGATCCTGCCTTCGCGCCCCCCCCCGGCTCCTGGCGAAGCCCAGCTCTAAGGTTTGCACTGGCGCTCTTGTCCAGCTGTCCGGCGTGGAACTTCGGCCACTTGTCATCCGAGTACGGGTTCGAGCCTCGAGAGCACCGCGGGTGCTTCTGGCACTTTGGCAAAATGGGGAGCTCGGCGCCGGCTTGCAGAAAGCTGCACAGCCAGGTTGTAGAAATGTTTTGTCATCCTCGTAAGTATTTTACCGTGTCAGGAGGTTGCAGCGATGCGCATGATGGCCAGCTTCTTGCTGCAGTCAGGCTCGAGCCTTCTCAGAACCGTTGCCCCTATGCAGTCTTCCAAACTCAAGTGGCCGCAATGGAGCTGTCCGACACCGTCGCTGACCGTGTCGCCATCTCCATCGCGGGTGTCAGATGGTCTTGCATCTCGAGCGCGGGTGTGATTCAGATCGCATATGTTATTGATTTAGCTATCCGTGTTACTTGTCTATTTTCAGATGGTTCCGTGTTCGTCGACTTCTCCGAAGCAGGATGCGAGGTCAGAGGCGGACAACAGACGTGCTTCGAGGGCGAGCTCGTAATATTTGTCATGCAGTGGTGGCTCTACATGGAGCTTGCTCTCAATTGTGGGAAAGGTATTGGGATGGCGCTGTTATTATGTTTGCTTGGCTGTTTGACTAATGCGGGCCGCATGGGCACAGGTTTCGGCTACGTGCAGAAGGTGTTGGGTTTCCAGCAGACGCTTACATTCGTAAGCATTTTCTTGTTCATATGTTATTTTGCTGGCAGGGAGGGGGCGTAGAAAGCACATCTGGAGGGTAGCAAGGGACAGCTCTGCTTTGCTTTATGCAAAAAGAGGAAAGGAAGTGCCTACGCCAGCAGTTGTGAGCCGCAGAGGCATGCGAAATGGCCGCGCCTCTAATCTAGCCAGCTTTATGCAGATTTAGCTTTCTGTTCCTTCCGTTGCACGGCGTAGGGATGGCTCTTGATAACACGTGCAGGGTGATGATTGTTAGCCTAAGCAATCGTGATGGTTGATGTTGTCGTCGTGGAACCATTTCTGCTAGAGAGAAAACGCTGACCCGCCACAACTGAAGTACAGTAGGTCTGGAGAGAAGGCTCGAGCATGTTGTTGCGTGTATATATATATATATAGAGAGAGGGTTGCCCATAGACCCACACATGTAAATATTGACAGAGGGGAAGATACTGGGACAAGGAGATAGTGAATGTGAGAGGAATGGGTCATATATGATGATCATACATGAGAGAGGGAGGATCCACGCAGACACGCAAACAGAAACGGAGACAGAGACGGGCACTGTCAGCGAAAAAGACAGGGAGGCCAGACAAAGACAGCAGCATGGCCACGACATGAACAAGTCTGGCTGCTCATGTGTAGGAGTTGTAGAACCATTCGGGTACGGCTGCAGTTTGGCTCTTGATCGTCGACGGCACTTCGCGCTGCTCGACAACACCTAGTTAGAACCCCGGAGTGCATCCACTTCTTCCTCCGCGTTCTGTCTCACTGGATTGTGTGGCTGCTTGAAGCCAGCCCCTCGCCCTTCCGACGCCTTGCTGTGAGTCGCAAAGCACCCACTGCGGAAGCTTAAGCAATAGACCCCTGGACCCATCCTAGAATGCTTTCTAACCAGGACTTCGTGGCTGATCCAGCCATGGCGACGAGCGGTGCCCCCAAGGCCCCCAAAACGAGAAACGTTAGAACGCTTCGAACGTCGACGTTCGAAATTTGAGGTTTTTGGAGCAGAGGGGAGGTGTCCATTCTTACCTGGGCAAGGCCACCATGCACACATACTCGACTGCTGTTATGGTGAGCGTTTTCTTCTTCCTGTTCGCGGAGGTGGTACGCCGCAGGCCCAATTCTTAAAGCGCAATGTATCGTCGTCGCAATATTCGCTGTCGCCGTCGCTGTCAATGTCGCCATCGATCGAAGATGTAGATTTTGCCGTCGTCGCCGTCCATCGGGGACGAGCGGTGTCGGTCGATCATCCTGGACGCCCAACCGGGTTCGTTGAGGCACTCTTGGGGCAGGACGATCTCCACTACTGCTGCGGAGGGGTCGGGGGGTGGCGGGGGAGGAAAGGTGCCACCGCCTCCCTCGCTTCCCTCCATGGCCGGGGGGCAGTGGCCATGCGAAGTTGTCGAGGCATCCAGCCGCCGTGGTCGACGTGAGGAGAAAAAAAAAAAAAAAAAAAAAAAAAATCTGTCCTCCTTTCACGCTCCCGCGCACGTCGTCCTTCGCTCCCCCCCCCCTCGCTGGGCGCAGGTCCCTCCAGTAGGGGCCGCGCGCCGACGGATCGAGGCCTCCAGCCTCGCAGCCGGAGGCGTCTTCACGTTAGGGTTAAGTTCGGGCAACAGGAGGAGTATTCAGAAATGGACAAAACAATATTTATCACAAAATATTTATCACAAAAAATTTAGCACAAACGAAAATCACAATATTTATCACAATATTTATCACAATATTTATCACAGTATTAGGGTTAATCGGGGGTGGACAGAACCCCCAACAGTGACACGTCGATTAGTGAATGGTCCGTTTTCGGTTCTCGAGAGGGCGCCGTGGCCGCTATTTTCCGGGCTTGCGCCCGCCAGGTTTGGGCCTCAGGTCGTTTTCACTAAACCACGTTTTACTAAAGGGGGTTCTGTCCATCCCCGAGTTAAGTTCTGGCAACAGGATGGGTATCCAAAAATGGACAAACCATAGTATGGGGACGATTTTTGTCACAATATTTGTTGGCTATGTTTAATGTTTTGACTATGTTTGGGCTGTCGTCCAAAGCCCGCCTGTGGGGGAATATGCCCGACCCAATGTTAGGGCCTGTGGCATCCGCACTCAGTGTTGGAAGCTTCCAGGTTGGAGAAGCGAGCCAGGTAAGCCCCCCCCCCCTTCCCCAACAAGACAGGATGAGTGGGCCTGGCGCGCTTCTCTTATTTGGCGCACCTGGCGCCCATATGAGCTGTGTCCAGCTGTCAGCGGGACGGCGACTGTTGCCCATGCTTGGTTTCGGGGGCGGCACATGCGTTGGGAGGGAGGGCGGGAGTAAGCTTTCTGGGAATCTGAGACGAAGGCAACTGCTACCCCCGTTCCAATCTGACTGCCCATGTTATTCCCACTGCGTGTGTTATCGCTCCCGTTTTCGTTCCTGCTCTCGTGAGCACTCCCGCTCCCGCTCACTTTACCTCAATCCAAGCAGCCCTTCGATATCTCTTATAGTCCCGTCGTTCTTCCGTATTCATGAAGAGCCCCTGCCCCAAGCGGTTGTTTTTTTTGTTTCTAAAACCATCAAGAGAGTTTCCCGTCTGCGTGTGGGCGTTTCGTCGCCGACGTGGTCAGGCAAGTGGCAGCAGTGATGGGGGCGCACAGCGCCCGCGAACCAGCAGAGTGCCATCTCTTACTTTTGCAACATGAAGGAGCCACCGAAGGGATGCGAAATCCATATTCACTCCGTAGGTTAACCACCACATCCAAATGGCCGTGCGGGAAGCGATCGAGCAGTTGATTGCATGTTACCAGTATGTGGCGCCCCCCGTATTCAGTCCGTACGTAAGCTTACACGCTAGAACGTTCCACGACATAGTCGCCCAGACGCTTGTGTGTGCGTGTGTGTGCGGGCGCATCTGCGTGATGAGCTTCGCTGCCGCTTCCCAGCTGAGTTTAGCAAACAAGTCAGCGCTAGTATGTATTCTCCACGCATGTCCTGTCTCCGGCGCCGTGGCCTGCACGGCAGGACCGGGCGTGGCGCGCGAGGAGCTCTGAGAGAGGGCAAGCGCGTGGTGGGACTGGTATGTCCGTGGTCGAAACTCAGCGCACTCCAGCATGACCTCTTCTAGTCCGGACCAGACCCGCCTCGTCTGGCCTGATCGGGCTTGCTCCTGTGTTCAATGTGGGCGGGTTCAGCCCATCGGCCCCGCAATCGCGCACAATCGCTCCTAATCGTTCTTGCGAGGACCTCCCAGAATCGGGGGCGGAAAAGAGGGGGGTGATGACTTCGGGGGGGGGGGATCTCATGGCGTGGGCCATGATATCTCCCCAGATTTCATGGCGCCTCTTCTTATTTCATTACGTCCCTGGCCCCCCCGCTGGGCCGCGCACATGCCGCCGGTCATGATTTGCACCCCCCCCCTCTTGGACACCCCCCTCTTGGCCGCTCCCGACAGAAGTTACCTCTGCCCGCGGTGGGGTTAGTTCGGGAGGACACTGCGGGGGCAGCTCGGGGGTTGATCGGCTGGTTTCCTGTCGATTCGGGGCTTATGTTACGACAGCCAGGGAGGGAGACGGTGGAGCCCTCTAGCTCGCTCGCTCGAGATATCTGCCTTCGGAAGCGACCAAAGGCATCAATTCAGAATTCACATCTCCCGTACATCAGGATGCATCTCCTGGAATGTTCAATTCAGCATCGGCGTTGGCAAATCCGTGGTCGAAAACCAGCCTAATCCAGCCTACTTCGATTCTTTCTGCTCAATCCGGCTTATTGCTTGGTCTAGTATGAAGCAGTCTGGCCTAACAGCCCCTTAATATGGCCTGCTAGCCCTTAATCGTTCCTGCGAAGACGTCCCATGAGTTGCCTCCCGAAGGACAGTCACAGTCGATGGGTTCCGAAACACAGTCGATGGATTCCGAATATCAATCGCCACGCGTGTACGTGCTCGCCTGCACCATTAGCCCTGCACCATTGTGTTGACAAATGTGTTGCACGAGCGAGGTCATAGAGTGGGAGGACTGTGTGATGATGTATCCCCATGTGCACGTCGGCGCTGGTGACTGACGTCAGGCAAACTGAAAGTACGTGGTTGGCGTTGTGTGGGAACGCGCGGATTTCAGCCACATCTGGAGCCCAGAGAGGTCCCGAAGTCCTTGCATGACCCGCTCTCGCCTCTTCGACCAGCGCCGACGTCGAACATGTATGCCCGCCCGCATGTGTTCCCGCGTCTCGTCTCCTCATCCATCTTACCCTTCTCATTTTCCGCGTCCTCTGGGGGAATGCTGATGTCAGCCCCTCCCCCGCCGCTGGTTACCTCCGTCGTCCGCTCATTGGCATCGCAGGCCATCCCTTCTTTCCCTCCCATCCCCTGGCTTCCGCTCCCGTCCTCCTCGCTTCTCCGCGCCTCGCAGCCGAGATGCGAAACAAAAGACCGCCTTGGGCACGGGAGGTGCTCTGAATCTCGAGCCGTCCCCTCGGTCGAGGTCGGGGGACCTATTCGTGGCCGAGGCTCGCCGTGGCCATAAAAGGCCCCTTCGTTCCCGATTCAGCGCGGGAGATGCGGTCTCTCTCAGTCCAGGACCATGTACAATGAACATCCCATGGAATAGAGATCCCATGCAAGAAGAACCTCCCCGTAGCACGACGACTGTACCTCCCCTCTCTGGGCACGTCGGCTTCCCCTCTCAGGCTGGAGGGCCTGCACCTGGACAGCCAGCGGCTCATGGTGCGCGGGGACGCCCGGGCTCGTGCAGACGTGCTGCCACGAGTCCGGCATGCGGACCTGGAGAACGATCCCGGCAGCTTCCAGGAGCGTCCTGGCCGTCCTCGACGCAAGCGCAGCTGTCGGGGGTGGAAAAGAGGGGGGGGATGACTTGGGGGGGGGGGGACCACCATGGCGGGGGCCATGATATCTCCCCAGATTTCATGGCGCCTCTTCTCACTTCATTGCGTCCCTGGCCCCCCCGCTGGGCCGCGCACATGCCGCCGGTCATGATTTGCACCCCCCCCTCTTGGACACCCCCCTCGTGGCCGCTCCCGACTCGACGCAAACGCAATTGCAGCAGGCACGTCAAACAGGAAGCTGGTCTGCCAGCAGGTGCCCCCACTTTGGAGGTTTCTTGTCCCCCGATGGCCCCGGGGACGCAGAGAAGCCCTGGGACACCTCGGGAGACCCAAAATTGACAAACGTGCCCCTAGACCCCAGGCTCCTCATACCAGGGTTTCTTATTGGGGGCGCAGAGAAGCCCTGGGACACCTCAGGAAACCCAAAATTGACAAACGTGCCCCTAGACCCCAGGCTCCTCATACCAGGGTTTCTTATCGTGAGCGTCTGCTGTGTACGGAAGCTCTTTTGGCACATGTGCGTGCCTGAGGTGGGTGCGAGATTCGTTTCGCGGTAACTGGCCGCCGTCTGATGGAACGTCGAAAATTCAGGGCAGATGTGCGACGTTGGGTTGCACGTGTAATCTGGCTGGCGTCTCCGAGGCAGACGCCACGGCCTGGACGAGGCTGAAGGAAGACTAGTCCTTCCGAGGTGTCCCTTTCAGCCCCCATCGCACATTGCAACTCCAGCTCTCCAGCCCTCCACTTTCCACTCCCCATCGACCATCCCCATGCCGTCCACCATCCACCATTCCACATCCCACTCCCATCCGATCCACTATCCCCATCCAATCCCATCCAGCATCCAGCCTTCCACTCCTTGCCCTTCCCGTCTACCATCCCTGTCCCATCCACAAGCTTGGTCCGTTTACAGTGGAGACCCATGCCAAGAACTACACCGCGTGCCTCCAGGGTGCCCTGGGTTTCTGCGGTTTCGATGGCTTTGCTATGGAAAGCGTCACGCTTCCACACCAAAAACCAACGGACGTCCCGGGGTCTCACGGTTGGGTTTCTGGTGGAAGGTTTTCTTGTGGTCGGGCCCCTACTGCACCATCCTTGTCCCATCCACCAGCTTGGTCCGTTCAACCCAGAGCTGAGGTTCTATCTTCCCAGCTCCCAGGAAGTCTGGGGAATGGTCCGCCGTGCTGGGCCGGCCAGCCAGGCAGGCCTGATTTTTTGGAGCCCACCCCTCCTCCCTGTCCCGGTGCGGAGTGGATGCCCACGGTCTGGCTGCGGAGGGGTGTCGTGTTGTCGAGTCCTGGTTGAGCCGCGTGCCCAGGTTTCGCCATGGGATTGCCAGGAGTTCGTGCGTGCCGGCAGGTGGGGGAGGGGGGTCGGGCGGGTGTGTGGAGGGATCTGGCACATTGGGCGGCGAGAGGTGGTCTCAGTGAGGCTTGGCGGAGGGGTGTCGGCACGATCAACCTGCACGTTGGCGTCCTCGTGTCTTCTTTGGGTGCGCTTGAAACCAACTGAAATGTCTGGAGACGTGGGCGTTGCTTACTGGAACGCCCCTCGGGGATTTCTTCGCTGAGGGAAGCAACTGTTATTTGGTACCACTTTGCCTGGCGGAGTGGAAGGCCGCGGGAGGTCCACGGACGCCAGTGGAAGTGACAGGCACTTCGACTTCTTGGTTATTTTCAGTGGGGCAGTCGCTACAGTTGGCTTGGAAATTAAACTCAAGCGGTAGAAACATGTATGCTAGCGTCTTCGGCTGTTCCGAAAGTGGGCACACCATGCTCAGCCTTGCCTTGTTTGGCATTGCCACGTCAGGAGGTATGCTGTCCCATCTGCTTGGCAGACTTCTTGCCCGACGAGATTTTAACGAAGCTCGCTTGCGGCCACACTTTCCACATAACTTGCATCCGCATCTGGCTTGCCCGTGGATTTCAGTTTGGGTGCCCTATGCGCTGTGATGTACCTGCACCAGCGCTGGCAGCAACAGGGACAAGTAATCATTCGAGACACACCACCCACCATTCTGACGCGTTTTTCGTTCCCGCACCATGTAACCCCATCGGATGCCAAACTCCTTTCACAGGTGGCCTGGGGAAGTAGGCGGGCGAGGGCAAGCCAATGCAGAGAGGGAGACTTTGCTTGCCACCCAGGCACCTGCTGTCGCGGGGACAGCTTCAGCAGCCTCCAGGAGGAGGAGGAGAAGAAGAAGGCAACACAACCGCGTACTGATTGTAGGTTAGTCCGATCGCGTAAACGAGGGGAAAGGGCATTCTGATCTGACTGCCTGGCGCGACACGGGTATCACTCTTCGCATCCGGCGCTGCTTGCCAGGCAGTTTTCTGTTACACTTATATTCTGAGCGTGAGTGCCAGAGATTGCTTTCATATCGCGACTCCAGTTGGAGACCCGACCTTGTTTCTTAGCAAATATGTTGGCTCAAGGACGCTCTGGACGAGCTCGGTATTTCCCTGACGACGTAAGCTGCCGGCCCGTTGAATGTATGTCGAATGCTAGATTTTGACTCCCGCGATTGACATTCGTAATGGTTGCATGGGCGCTCGATGTACCGATACCCCTTGAGTGATAAAGTGAGTGAATGTCGGTTCATCATTCGGGTCTGTTTTCCTCATGGTTTCGCCAGTTAGAGGTGTCCCCAATATTTGCGCTCCCTACCACTATCTGTCAGCCATCTGTTTGCGTCGTCACCATGCGGTCCAGATGCACATTCTCATAGTAGCGAATCAGTGGAAGTACGTAGCCTTTTCTGCGGAGGCGGTGCGAACTTGGACCAACCGTGCTGTTTGACCAGCAGCAAGAACGGAGCAGCGCCCACTGTATCGCATTTGCCAAACAGCCGCGATCAAACCTGCATCGCTTCCACCTGTGCAATCCTCTTGAGCTCCAGGTCGCCGCGGCCTATGTTGTGCAGCCCCTGCTGCCCAGTGTAAGTAGTGTGTCTGCAGCTTTCGTGCTAGTCGGGGACACGTAGTTACATGCTGGCATGTGCCAGGGGTGCAGAGGCAACTGCCCAAACAGGACGACCAGGATGAGTAGGGAAACCATGTGACGACGAAGGGGTTCTAGGCGGAGGCGCAGGCGTGAGCGGGGGGAAAATTGAAGACGAGGATGGCGCAGAGAGGGAATAAGAGAAGGAGGAGGAGGAGGAGGAAGCAGACCGTTGGGCCTAATACATGGACATATGTATGTATATGTATGGTTTGAAAGCAGCCTCTCTCAGTATGCCAGGAGACGCCCGCGCCGGGCGAACCCGTGGCGGCATGAGCTCAAAAGAGTGGAGGAGGAGGAGGAGGAGGAGGTAGAGGAGGAGGAGGGGGAGGAGGAGGGGGAGGGGGAGGGGGAGGGAGGAGGAGGAGGAAGGTTCTGAGGGTCCTGATGATGCGGCTTGTGTCAATGAGCCCTGGAACGCCGGCCACGCTGCCTCAGCCTTTGCCGAAGAAGCGGAGGCCAAGCCTCATGGGCCCATCCGGAGGGGAGGAGGAGGGTGAGGAGGAGGGTTAGGAGGAGGAGGAGGAGGAGGAGGAGGAGGAGGAGGAGGAGAAGGAGAAGGATGAGGAGGAGGAGGAAGTTCAAGCGGGGCTCATGCTTGCGGGAGCGTCAGGCTCATACTGAGCCCTCCCATATGCCCGCTCCGATTAACACTGGTACTTGAATGTCGACCACGCGAATTTGAATCAAGCAGCATCGCGGCTGTGGGCGCCGTCTGCTTTGGGAGATCAGCGAGATACGCTGGGAGTAGGGGGACCGATAGTTCACGTCCATGGCACGGCACATAAAATATTCGATTGCAGTGCAGTAGGCAGGTCAAATGAGAAAACGGAATGCCAGCAGGTGCCCCCTGAAATTTCTTATCCCCGATGGGCCCTGGGACCTGCAGAAGCATTGAGGCACCACAAGACCTTCAAATATGAAAGAGCGCGTTCTGTGGTCGTTTGGAAGGGGCGGGGTTTGGAACTGGACCCCCCCCTGGATGGAGGGGTGGGGTTCGACCCCCCCCACCCCCATTTCCCGTGACGGAGGGGGGGGGGGGGTCGACCCCCCCCCTTTCCTCCCCTACTTCTCTTCTCTCCCTCTCCTCGGGCCAGCACCTGCGTCGGCGGCAGCTGGCTGCTGCGGCGGGGACGACGATTTCATTTTCTGGGCAGGCGCCAGCGCCTGCGGCGGCGGGCGGCGGCGGCGGGGAGCGTCGACGAATACGACGTGGTGGTGGTGGGTTGTGGTGGTGGTGGTGATGGTGGTGGTTGTGGTGGTGGTGGTGGTGGTATGGTGGTTTGGTGGTGGTGGTGGTGGTGGTGGAGGTTGTGGTGGTGGGTGGTGGTGGTGACGGTGGTGGTAGTGGTGGTGTGGTGGTTTGGTGGTGGTGGTGGTGGTTGTGGTGGTGGGTGGTGGTGGTGGTAGTTTGGTGGTGGTGTGGTGGTGGTTTGTGGTGTGCTGGTGGTGGGTTGTGGTGGTGGCGGTGGTTTGTGGAGATGGTGCTAGTGGTGGTTGGTGGTGGTGGTGGTGGCGTGGTGGTTTGTGGTGGTGGTGGTGGGTCGTGCTGCTGGTAGTGGTGGTGATTGTGGCGGTGGTGGTGGTGGTGGTGTGGTAGATTGTGGTGTTAGTGGTAGTGGTGGTGGGTTTTTGTGGTGGTGGTGATGGTAAGTTGTGGTGGTGGCGGTTGTGGAAGTGGTGGTGGTGGCTGTGGTGGTGGTGGTGGTGGTTGTGTGTTGGGTTGTTGTTGGTGGTGGTGGTGGTGGTGGTTTGAGGCGGTGGTGGTGGTGGTGGTGGTGCTAATGGTAGAAATTGTCGCTGCGGGCTGCCGTCGCTGGCCCCGGCGCCGGCGCTGCTGGCCGCCGCCAGCGGGCCGCCGCCAGCGCCGGCGCCGGCGCCAAGGGGAGGGGGGGGGGGGTCCCCCCTATTGGGCTGCCTCTGGTCATCGTCGCTGCGTCCCCGCCGTCGGCGCTGCTGGCGGCCGCCAGCGCCGGCGCCGGCGCCGGCGCCGACGGGGGGAGGTTGAACCCCCCCCCATCCCCTTGGGAGGCGGGGGGGGGGTCGGGAGGGGGGGGGGAGGGGAGCCCCCCCGCTTTTGACCGACGGCGCCGAGTTTTTTTGGGGGGCCCACCCCCAGGTTCGAAACGCGCCGCCGAATGTTCCCAAAGCAAGCGCCCGTGAAACGCGCGCTCTCTCTATCTCTCTCTGTTTTTTTTTTTTGTTTCTCTCTCTCTCTCTGTCTCTCTCTCTCTCTCTCTCTCTCTCTCTCTCTCTCTCTCTCTCAACTATGGACGACGCTTGTGCCCCAATATTTCTTATGGCAAGATGTCTTGTTTTATGTTTCTACTGTTTCAACGCCAGTTCAGAGCGCAATCCGAGCTCGCATGGCTCTGACAATCGACCTCGGTCCCTCGGTCTGGAGGCCGTCTTGGTGCCCTCCTGGGCGGGCTTTGAGTATTACCAGACAGCCTTGGGGCCATATGGGGCGGTTATCTAGCGGCACCTTTTTGCTGCATTGAAGATTTATGTTCGGACTCGCTGAAATTTCCCCGAGGTGATCTGGAGCTGAAAGACATCGCGAGCAATCAACATGGATTGCTTCACGTGTTTCAGCGTGTTCTGTTCTGAGCGCCCCGCTGGATGTCTCATCGGTCGTCTCCTGGAGGCTTCTTCAGCATCTCGGGGAGGTCTTGTAGTCCTTGGGGGCTCGCTAGGCCATCTTTGGACGGTATGAAGGTGAGTTTACGCTGCACGTCAGTTCAGCGCGCAGTTTGGTTTTGTCGGTTGTCTCAAATTTGACCTCGTTCCATGTGTCGCTTGTACGTTTTGGAGCCCTCTTGGGCCGTCTTGTAGGGTTCTCGTGCAGTATTGGGGCCATCATCTGGCTATTCTCGGGCAGTTTCGGGCAGTCTTGCAAGCCTTGCCACCGCGCCAGCGCGACAGCGCAGCGTGAAGGAGGTTGCGTTGAACTCTCAGGCGGGAGCATGTCCGAGGCTTCTCGGAGGCCTCCTGGGGGCCTTTTAGGTCCGTTGGGGGGGGGGGCCTTTGGTGGTCTGTAGAGGGGGCCGGCCCCTGGGAGGCTTTTTGGGGTCCTTCGGGCCCTTCGTGGGCGTATGAGGGGCCTCTGGGGGCCTCTTGGGAGCCTCTCGGGGGTATGTTCGGGGTCTTAGAGGCAATCGTGCAGGAACTAGCTACCAGCGTAGGCTCGCGATTTCTCCCTCTTAGGGGCCTTTTTCGGGGCTTCCTGGGCCCCCCCCCCCCCCCCCCGGCGCCGTCTTGGAGCTTCTCCCTGGGCTGTCTTGGGGCCCTTTTGGGACCCTGTTGGGGGGTCCTGAGGCCTGCTTAGGGGACCTTTTGGGCCGTCTTGGGTTTTCGGGAGCCAGAAAGGGCAAGTGTGTTAAACTCCGGATGAACCATGAGGAACCCAATGCTAGTTGCTCTCGAGGGCTTCTTGGGCGTCCTCCTGGGCAGTCTCGGGGGGAGGGGGGGGGTTGTTGGGCCGGCTTGATGCCAACTTGGGGTTCTCCTGGAGCGTCTGAAGGCCTTCTTGGGCAGTCTTGGGGCCGCTTTGGGGCCTTCTTGGGCAGTCTTTGGGCGAGCTTGGCTGTCGTTTGAGCGTTTGGTTGGCTGTGTTGGCTGGCTTGGGGCGTTGTTCTGATGTTTGGTGTGCTCTTGAAGGTTTTTGCAATCATTGACAGGTGTGGCCCCCCTCGGTCAGAACATCTCTGGGGAACATGCTTCATCACACGCGCACACATACACACACCAATTTCTGGTGGTAGCTGGCACAGACTTGACCCCAGAGAGGGAGGAACAGTTTTCCATGGGTGGTCGCGGCTGGGGGAGGGGACAGGGGGTGGGGGGTCGGCGTTAGGCAGCGCTCAAGACACCGTGCCAGAGAGGAGGAGCATCATAAGATGCCCCAGCGTGTGCCAGGCACGTTGGTGGATGGCCATGCTGAGTGCATATTTGAGCATTTCTTGGGAGCTGGTTGGGGCCTCTCGCAGCATCTGGCAGACGTCTTGTAAACTTTGGGGGCTCGTTAGGGGAGTCGTCTGAGTGGGATTCTGGCTTGCGACAGCCGCTTTGGATTACAGTTCGCTGCCGTACGGGGTGGGTTCTGAAGCCACGCTGGTGGTGGGGGTGCTCTCTCGGGACAGTTGTGGGAAGTCTCGGGATGATTCGTGCTCTTGGACCCTCCCTGGGGCGATCTGGAGCTGAAAGGCACCAGGATCTCACAACATTAGTTTTCTTCGCGCGTTTCAGCATGCTTCTCCTTTGCCTGCCTCGCTCGATGCTGCCTCGGTCGTATCTTGGATGCTCCTGGGGGGCGTACTGGTGAGATATTGCAATCTGTTGGGGATCGATGGGCCGTCTTCGGACGGTCTTAGGGAGAGTTTACGCCCCACGCCAGTTTAGTAAGCAGTCTGACCTCGCGTTGGTTTTAAACTCGACCTCGTCCCCTCTGCCTTGGGTACGTGTTGGGGCCCTCTTGGGCCGTCTTGGAAGGTTCTCTGGCTTTTCGGGCCTTCTAGAGGCCCTCTTGGAGGCCTCTTGGGCCGTCTTGGAGACCTCTTGAAGGCCTCTTGGGCCGTCTTGGGCCATCTGAGAGCCAGCTTTGGCCGTCTTGATGGTCTCCTGGCCCGTCTGACTCCGTCGGGAGCCCTCCCTCTTGGGGGCCTCTCTGGGCCGACTTGAAACCCTCTTGGGGTGCTCCAGGGCCGTCTTGGAGGCCATCTTGGGCGTCTTGGAGTCCTCTTGGGTGGAGCCTGTAGGGGACCTCTTGGGGTCTCTTGGGGTCTCTTGGGGGCCTCTTTTGGGGCCTCCTGAGGGGCACCTGGGGCGGAAGGTTCGAATTGTCGATTCGTGTTCCCCCTCGTTGGCCCCTCTTGTGGCCGTCTTGGGGCCCTCTTGGGCGATCTTGGGTGCCTCTTGGGCTGTTTGGGGGCCGTCTTGGACCGTCTTGGGGCCCTTTCGGGGGCCTCTTGGGCCGTCTTGGGCCGGTCTTGGGGGCCTCTGGGGCTATCTTGGAGCGTCGGAAGCCTGAAAACGCGAGAACGCGAATAACATCGAACACCATACGGAACATCAATGACTTCTTCCTCTTTGGGCCTTCTTGGGGGTCCTCTTGGAGCTCTCTTGGGTCTTCTTTGGGACCTGTTGGACCGTCTGTGGGCCATCTTGGGCGTCTTGGAGCGCTCTTGGGCTGTCTGGAGGCATCTGGGACTCTCTTGGCCCGTCTTGGGGACCTCTGGCTTTTGGAAAAGTCATGCGAGGCAGCCAGGGCACGCGCGGGAACGTCTTGGAAATTTGAGGATTTCGGGCCCCAGCCCTTAACTAGAATCCAAGAGTCCTGAGTACAGAGAGCAGGGAACCCTGAGGACCTGAGGACGCTCCACTTCGTGCCTCGAGGCACGGTGGCTGATTTATATGTTCTCCGTTCTCTCTCTTACGTACCCACTCTCTTTCTCTCTCCCTCGCCCCCCTCTCTCTCTCTCTCTCTTTCTTTTTCTTTTTGTATCTAGATATGAGTATTTATATGTATGTATGTTTGTATGTATGTATGCATGTATGCATGGATGCATGTATGTATGTAAGTAGTTCTGCCTGTCTGTCTGTCTGTCTGCCTGTCTGTCTGTCTGTCTGTCTGTCTGTCTGTCTGTCTCTCTGTCTGTCTGTTTGTCTGTCTGTCTGTATGTATGTATGTATGTATGTATGTATCCTATCCGTGGTATCTCTTCTTGTCTCTTCGCATCTTAGTCTATCCTATTCCCACTCGTCGCGAATCGGCAGGGGCCATCGACTCCGCCCCCCCATCGACGGCGCTGCGGGCGGCCCCACGGGCGCGGGGAGCGCGCATAATGCGGCCGCCCTTGGGGCACCCATGCTGATTGGCGCTGCCGGGCCATGATCGCGCCTCACACCCTAGGCGTGGGGGAGGGAAAGATCAGAGGTGGAAAAGCTACCGATACCGCTACCCTTCCCTTCCCTCGTCATCGCCTACTTCGGCCTCCTGGCAGGCTCTCGTCGCCAAGGCTTGATTTTTGTCGACATCCTGGTCAGCCGCACCCTGGGATAGGTCTGCGGAGTAGCAGTATGGGCACGTTCCAGTATCGAGAAGCAGTGGCAGGAAGAGGAGTGGAAGGAGCTGGGGGAGGACGGATGGACCGAGGGAGGAGGGTACATGCGTGGACGAGTGGAGGAAGCAAATGAGCAGGAGGAGGAGCAGTAGGATGACGAAGAGGAGCGGCGATAAGATGACAATGTAGTCGCTCTCCGTTCCCGCGGGCTGGAAGTGTGAGCAACGGATCGAGGTATCTGGTCCAGTAGAACAGCTAGAGTGGGCGATACAGCGTGGTGGTTCATATCCGTCACTGCGTGTTGTTATTGGTTGTAGCACTGGGCCCCTTGAAGCCAGGTTGCGAAAATGATGTTTTCACATGCTTCCCTTTCTCCGTTCTCTTCTTCACCTCTCCCTCCTCCGTTCTCCCCGCCCTCGCCCCTCCTCCTCCGCCCATCTCCCCTCGTTTCTCCCCCTTGTCTTCCTCATGTCTTGCCTTCGCATGCCGCGTGTGCTCGCCGCTTTCGCCAGCACCTCTTCTCTTCTGCGCCGATCGTCTCTTCTGTCCCGTCTTCTCCCTTTTTTTTTGGGGGGAGAACGGCGAAGGCCGCGCACGAATGGGCGCCCGCCGTAGGCCATGCGGATCCAGATTGGCCACCAGCGCAGCGAGCCGGACCTGGCGGCGCACGGGGGGGTCGAGACGAGGGGGGGCGGACGCCGACCAGAGTGATGACGGGGTGCGTCAGCGGTGCCGAATCCACCCTCCCGTCCCAGATCTCCTCCCCATGAGCTCCTGCAAGTGTTCCTGTCCTCGACGGAAAGTGCTTGCCGCTCAGGCGAGACCTTTTTGTTGTTGTTGTTGTTTGGATTTTTTCGTTTGTGCAGTTCAAGGAGGCGTCCCAGCGAAAGTCCCGATTTGTAAACTATTTGCCATCGGATTGCGCAATTCCAGTTCTGGCCATCAGGTCTGATCAAGCGAGAACCTCATTTTGAAATAACTTGCCCATCGTCACTGTTGACAACTTTTGAGGAAGTTACCCGCAACACCCACACTTTTGAAACGAACCGGCCTGTATCCTTGTAAGTGGTTGATTGTCTTTCGCGTGGGGCGATGGCTGCATTTTGAAAACGTACCGGCCTTCATCCTCGTGGCTGTAATAGGTGTCTAAAGCGAATGCGTGCTGCGCTAAGGCGAGAGCCGCATTCTGGAATCGGCCAGCCCTCCGTCCTTGGAGTTGTTGTTGTTGTTGTTGTTGTTGTTGTTGTTGTTGTTGTTGTTGTTGTTGTTGTTGTTGTTGTTTGTTCTTGTCTCAGGATCGTAAGTTGCAAGGCAGTCTCGAACGAAACGCCTGGTCCAGCCTATGGACCCGCATGGTGGTGCGACAGGGGGGATTTACTTCTGAGGGAGAGGGATGGATCAGGGCGAGCTGGATCTGCGTAGGAGGATAATTGTGAAGAGAGGGAAAGGGAGGATGAGCAGAAGGCGAGTAGGAGGACCAAAGCACATCGAGTAACTCAGCGATGTTGTAACGCACCTCCCAGTTTCAAGCCCTCTCATCGTAAGTTCCTGCGTCTTGTTCTCTTTAAACAAGATGTTTTGAACCATCTTTCACGAGAGCACCATGGGCTGGGCATTCGAGACAGAGACTTGTTTGGAAAACCATCCCGTTGTCCATCTGATTACACCCTCGCTGCAGAGAGGCCTAAACAGCATAGCATACGAGTAAGCACAGAAGCACACTGTACTGCGCATACGGAAGACCATACAGGAGGCCATCCAGGATACCATCCGGGAAACCATCCGACCCAGCAAACCACCAGTTCCTTTCTTGAAAGCATCAGATAGACCCCGTGCGGACATATTATTTAGGGGACGCGGTATTCACAATATGATTGTGAAAGCTAATGCGAACGTTTCTCCCACCTGCACTATGTAGTAAGTCTACTACGACCATTAAACATACTCGTATTCGGAACGTGATTGTGAATCCGAGAAATCGTATGGATACTATTGGTAATACTGGTGCTACAGCTGACGGTACTAATGCGATGGGAGACCACGCGAGGCCACAGGAGATCAAGTCGCCCGACCGATTCCAGAATTGGTGATCCCCATAAACAGTGTCTGAAAAGAACTGTCTGGGACACTTGCAGACAAGCTGTTCTGGGAATTTCTTTAAAGCAAGTGCCAGGGTATAGAATATTGGCGGCGATGGGAAATGTCAAGCGGTAGTCCGATCTGGAGGAAATCGCCTTTTACCAGTGTCTCTGTTCGAACTCATATCGGACAGCAGCTGCCCTCCATCCGCGTAGGTCTTCAGTGCTTACTGTTCGAGGCTTTCTTTTATTGAGACTCTAGATGGATAAGCCCCTGAACTTTTCAAACAAATATGTATGGACTCCAGACTCTGAAACAAAAGACTCTGGGATGAACGGGCTCCCATTCAAATTTTGTTTGTTTTGTTGTTTTTTTCCCTACCTAGGCTCTGCCTAGAAGGGTTCTTACTCGCTAAGCTTAAAGGGCCGGGTAGTGTAAAGCGCCCCGGGCGGTTCCCCCGGCATCCGCCCCGCGGTTCCCCCAGTGACGTTCCCTTAGTTCAGCGTTGCTTATCTCATCTTAGCTTAGGGTATTTCATCTTAGCTTACCTTAGCTTCATCTTACCTCAGGTTTATCTTACCTTAGCTTACCTTCATTCCCTACCTAGGCTCTGCCTAGAAGGGTTCTTACTTTATAAGCTCAAAGGGCTGGGCAGTGTTCCACGGCCCGGGCGGTTCCCCCAGGATCCGCCCCGCGGTTCCCCCAGTGACGTTCCCTTAGCTTAGCGTTGCTTATCTCATCTTAGCTTAGCCTAGCTTAGCTTAGCTTAGCTTAGCTTAGCCTAGCCTAGCTTAGCTTAGCTGAGCTTAGCTTAGCTTAGCCTAGCCTAGCTTATCTTAGCTTAGCTCAGCTTAGCTTAGCGCAGCGTTAGCATAGCATAGCATTTCATAGCACATCATAACATAACATAGCATAGCGCAGCATAGCATAGCGCAGCATAGCATATCATAGCATAGTATAGCATAGCATAGTACAGCGCAGCATAGCATAGCATTGCATAGCATGGTATAGCATATCATATCATATCATATCATATCATGAACTAACTTAGCATAGCACGGCGCAGCATATCATAGCATAGCATAGCACAGCATAGCGCAGCACAGCATAGCATATCATAGCATCGCGCAGCATAGCATATCATAGCATATCATAGCGCAGCATATCATAGCACAGCGTACCATAGCGCAGCATGCCATATCATAGCATAGCCTAGCATATCAAATCATACCATAGCATAACATAGCGCTGCATAGGTAATACAAAGCAAAGGCAACGCAAAGGCAAGGCATAGGCATAGCATCGCAAACACAAAGGCAAGACAATGCAACATAAAAGCAACACCAATGCGAAATTGTAGATGTATATATCGATGTAGGTGTAGGTGTAGATGTGGATGTAGGCGTAGATGTATATGTAGATGTATATGTAAGTGTAGATGTAGGTGTAGATGTAGATGTGAGTCTCGATGTTGATGTTGATGTAGATGTAGATGCAGGTGTAGATATTTATGTAGCTGTCGGTGTAGATGCATGTATAGGTTGCTTTCCTAGATGCTCCAACCCCTAGGTAGGGTCGCACTGGGATACTTTCTCTCTCCCTCTCTCTCTCGGAGAGAGAGAGAGAGAGAGAGAGAGATATGGAGAGAACAAGAGAGAGAGGGAGAGAGACCTATTTGAAAATGAGCTGCTATTCTTCCTCGTGACAGTTCGAGGCCTTTCAAACAAATGCGAGCGGCACTCAGGCGGGAGCTTCAAAGTTTGAACGCCGCCCCATCCAGCCTTGCGATTGTTGGGAACCTTTAGCGCGATTTCGCGCGGCGCTAAGGCGATAGGCACATTTTGAAATGCACCCGCCCTTCATCCTTGTAGTGTTAGAAGGTAGAAGGTCATGTGCGCTGCGATAGGTCGGAAACCACATGCTTCACATCATTCGCCATCCAAGCTCTATTGAGAGCTTTCGAAGTGGATGTGTTTGGTGCAGGAGGGGGAGTCACATGTTTTAAACGACCTCCCAACATTCGTGGAGCTGCTGGAACTGTCAAGCTTCCCAGTGAGAAGTTATGCTGAAATCTCAGGCGAAACGCCTGGCCCACTCTACGGACACGTCTTGTGGTGCGAAAAGTGATCAGTATCTATCAGGAACAGGGATGGTCGGGGATGATGAGGAGGAGGTGGAGGAGGAGGAGGTGTTGGAGCAGGAGCAAGAGCAGACGGAGGATCATGAGGAGGAGGGGGAGGAGGGGGAGGAGGACGAGGAGAAGGAGCCGAGGAGGAGGAAGAGGAGGAGGAAGTGAGCAGGAGGAACTTCAATACTGGGGATGCTTGCTGCACGACCTCGCGGTCTGGAACTTAAACCGGCTGGCGTGGCGCACAGCAGGCTCCGTGCCACCGACTGGGCGGCCCGCCTTCACGCACAGGTCTGACGGCAGCTCCGGAGGGGGCTCCACGGGAAGTGTTGGTTGGCGCTGGACCCGCGTCGGGCTGCCCCAGCTCGTAGCCGTACGACTCGGTGCAGGCCGCCAGCCTCGGACGTGGGCCTCGTCCCCAGTGGAGGCCAGGGGCGAGGCCCACGTCGGGAGGCATCTTAGGACCGCTCCGGCGCACGCTTCTGCTCTTGGGGGCCATCTTCCTCGGCGAGCGCCGCGGCCAGCTTGTCAGATACTTCCCACGTGGACCTCGCAGATTCGCATCAACTCCTGCTGGGGCTCCGCGACTGGGGCCGCATCTGGCCCGCGTGTGATTGCCACGTCCTGTGACATCAGCGATTCTCTGACGCCAGCCTCATCTTCAAGGCCGTCAGAGTATTGAATGCCCTGCAGAGGATTTGGATATTTCTCCCACCTTGAAACACATTCAGACCATCGTCCCATTCTCCATCCGGAATGTCAATACGTAGCACCCCGCAATTGCGGATAAGAGTGAGGGGGCGGGCGCGGGCGACGCGGGCGTCGTCGAGCCGGCGGACCTCGTGGCCCCCACCTTCCCTGTCGATGGCGCTCTCCTCCTGCTCCTCCTCCTCTTCCT